CTGGTAGAACGGGTGACAGAGTGAAGGAGGGAATTGGGGTCAGGCGCACAGAGTGGATTGAACCATTCAACATACACGTGATACTTGGGAAGTTCATGCCCCCAAAGGTGGTCAGGCAGCAATACTTTACCATCCCCCACATAATCCACATGGACTCCACTGGATTCCACTGGACTGGACTGGACTGGACTGCCAATCACAAAACTGGACTCCACTGGACTCTCCCAACACAAAACTGGACTAGACTGGACTGGACTGCAAGCACAAAACTGGACTCCACTGGACTCTCCCAAGACAAAACTGGACTGGACTGGACTGAACTTAGATTTCAAAAGAAAATTGAAGTATATTTATTAATTAAATACATTACTTTTACTACATTCTATGTTACAGAGAGGGGGAGGGAGAAGAGGGAAAGAAAAGGGGGAGGGAAAGAAAGGGGGAAGAGAGGAATGGAGGGGGGAGGGAGCAAGGAAGGGGGGGGGAAGGGGGAGGGAGTGTTGGAGGGAGGAGGGAGTGAAGGGGGGAGAGAGTGGAGGGGAGAGGTGGTGGTGCTGGGCCCTCGTCACCGTCCCGCGTTGGCGTGCCGTCGGCGCTGGTGGTTTTTCATGGGCACGTGTCGTGTTTCGGGTGGGCACTCATTGTTTTTCATGGGCGCACGTTGTTTTTCATGGGCACTCGTGGTTTTTTGTGTGTGATGGGGGTGCGTGCTCATGTGGACACGTCGTGTCATGTCGTCGTCCTGGCATGTTGTGTCGTTGACACGTCATCGTCGTGTCAGTGGGCGGTGGTGGGTCGTGGTGGTGGGCACTCATCGTTTTTCGTGGGTGGGTGCTTGTCACAGTTCGTTGACGGTGGTGGGTGCTCGTCATTTGCCGTGACATGGGTTTCATCGTTTTCGTGGGCACTCGTCGTTTTTCGTGTGTGGTGGGGGGTGCTCGTGTTGTGTCGTTGTCCTGGCATGTCTTCGTTCGGTTCGTGATGTGGGTTGCTTCGTGACGTGGGTTGCTGTTGTGCGTGTTGCAGTTGTTGCGTAGGGTTGTGGTGCTGTCATCATGGGGTTGCTGGCACCTGTCGTGGTCGTTGTCGATGTGTTGTCGCCGGGTTGCGTTGTTGCGTTGTTGCGCCGTGTTGACATCTGTGGGTGAGTGGATCAGGTGGAGTTGGGTTGCTCACCCATGGACGATGAACGACGCTTGTCGTTGTTCGTCATCTGGTTGCCACATCGCCGATAGCAACATGGCACCGACACCCATGACTGGGCGTGGTCCCTCGTTTCCTTGTTTGTTTTGTTTGGCGTGTTGCTTCGGTGACGTGGCTGAGGGCGGTGGCAATGGCCGAGAGTGGTGGTGGGTGCAGGACATTGGTGAGGGGTGGTGGTGGTGGTGGTGGAAGGGAAAGAGATGGTCACACAGATGTGACTATGCCGCAGAAGGCAAACATGACAGTATGGCAACGTTTGAACACCACGGGTACGTCACGTGCCACACCCCGCAGACTGAACAAAATCATTGATCGTTGTTATGACAAGTGCTTGTGTATACTTCTATATAACTCATTACATTCGTATAGTCTAATTTCGCTTTTTTGGTAGTAATTGATATCCATAAGTAAGTAATGATGGACTGGACTCACTGGACTGCTGGATTCCACTGCAGTCCAGTGGAATCCAGTGGACTATGACTGGACTCATAGTCCACTGGACTGGAACTGGACTCAGGAAAGTGGCTTGTAGTCCAGTGAGAGTCCAGTGGACTGGACTGGACTGGACTGGACTTGAGTCCAGTGGACTGGGCATTGTGCAAGCCAATCTGGCCTAGCAACTGGGCCACTGGAATCCACTGGAATCCACTGGACTCCACTGGACTCCACATGGATTATGTGGGGGATGGTAAAGACCTCTCAGGCAGTGCGAAGATCATGCGTACCTGGGCCACTCGAAGTCCTGAATGATAATATCACATCAGTGAGTATGAGAGGGGAGCTGGTGTGATGCACCTTTGAGGCAGGTACCTCTTGTAACCTGATTCCCTAGTTTACTCCCACTTCTAATTAGAACCATGTCAAAGTTGGCTGGGGAATCCTTTTTACAGCCTGGAATCAACAGTGTTGCACAGGCATGCTGAGTTGCCTTGAAGCATCCAACAGCTGCTAGATTGGGCAAGCAAATGGATAGGCCCTTATATACATCAAATTTGTTGGTAGTGTTTGGAAGTAGTGGCTGAGCTGGTGTGGGGTAGGCATGATGGATAACCTTTGTGAGTGCAGAAACGAAGTTGACAGCGAAGAACTGAGTAGTGAGTGTGACAATGTCTGTGAGAGGAAACCCAGGATGGATGGGTAGGTGATGAGTGGAGGGCAGACCAGCTGTAGTGGTGGTTGTGGAGGTAGCTGCCAATGGTTTGTTGATCACGTCACTGTCAGTGTTAGCATCACAGTCACTGTCAACATCGCTCTCAGACTCAGCATCACGCCTCAGTGACCAATCAAGGTATGCTCTGAACCTTGCGACTGCTTCCTGGCGTCCCAGCCACTTCACCATCTGCTCTTCATAATCCTGCCCATTGCTCGTTCTGTATGCC